GCCCGCCTTTTATTTACACAAAGCCACAGGTTTTCATTGTGCACCATTACGACCTTCTAGCTGCCAGCTTCCTGACAACCAATGACATCATCAGTTGGTAAGGAGGATGTCAACTGCCTGCACAGCATCCTAGTTTGACCCTCCCCCGCCCCCTACATCAATGCTGGGGTAACATTAGCTCAGTGATGGATAAAAACTGAGGGAGAAGAGAAACACTGGAACACTGGAACAGTGCCAGTGTGCAAAAGTGTATTTGCTTTGGAAAAATAAATCCGCTCTAATGTTGGGTGTCCTACATGTGTGGATGTTGCTGCGTTATATAAAACTATTAGAATAGCTTTTTTCACATTTTAGAATGGGGTGCCTTAAGATTGTCCATCATTTTAAAGGGTGCCTCAGGACTGTCCATAATTTTATAGGGTGCCTCGGGACTGTCCATAATTTTAAAGGGTGCCTCAAGTCTGTGCATAATTTTAAAGGGTGCCTCGGGACTCTCCATTATTTAAAAGGGCGCCTCGGGACTGTCCATAATTATAAAGGGTGCCTCAAGACTGTCCATAATTATAAAGGGTGCCTCAGGACTGTCCATCATTTTAAAGGTTTCCTCAGGACTGTCCATAATTTTAAAGGGTGCCTCAAGACTGTCCATCATTTTAAAGGGTGCCTCAAGACTGTCCATCATTTTAAAGGGTGCCTCGGGACTGTCCATAATTATAAAGGGTGCCTCAAGACTGTCCATAATTTTAAAGGGTGCCTCAAGACTGTCCATCATTTTAAAGGGTGCCACAAGACTGTCCATCATTTTAAAGGGTGCCTCAGGACTGTCCATAATTTTAAAGGGTGCCTCAAGACTGTCCATAATTTTATAGGGTGCCTCAAGACTGTCCATCATTTTATAGGGTGCCTCAAGACTGTCCATAATTTTTAAAGGGGTGCCTCAGGACTGTCCATAATTTTATAGGGTGCCTCAAGACTGTCCATAATGTTTAAAGGGTGCCTCATGACTGTCCATAATTATAAAGGGTGCCTCAAGACTGTCCATCATTTTAAAGGGTGCCACAAGACTGTCCATCATTTTAAAGGGTGCCTCGGGACTGTCCATAATTTTAGAGGATGCCTTGACCAAAAAAAGGTTGAGAAACACTGTTCTAGACAGTGTGACAGATTCACTATGGAGCCGGGAAGTCAGTGAGTATGGACTGGCTGGATAATTGTGGATCCACTAAGCCAACTGCAGGTAGGTGGAGGTGGGCAGGTGACTATGGGTCCTCTGGGATGGGGAGTTTAAGCACCGGCCAGTTTTCACCAGAGCCTCTCGTGGTGGAGATGGGTTTTGCTGCATGCTGATGCCAGATCACGATCCCAGGATTCACCCTGCTTGTGTTGTGGAGACAAGCTGTGCAAATGGAGCTAAAATGGGCTGATATGATAGGAAGGAGGCAGGCCAAAGCTCTGAGCAGGTGGCAGGCAAGCAAATTCAGAGAAAGAGAGCCAGGTTCTGTACATGGTTAGGCTGTCCAACAGGCAGGAGGTAGGTGCACGGGGTCACAGAGGGTAAAAATGACAAAGACACAGAAGAGAAGAGGGTCACAGGAGATAGAACTAGGAACCTAAGAACACAGACTGGAACTAGGAGCTTTGACTGAAACTAGGAACTCTAGAGACCGGGGCCTAGGGCTAGGTATAACCTTTTGCTCATGCCAGAGAAGCTGACCTGAACATGACTTAAATATTGAAGATCGGAAGGCTGTGCAGCATCTGGGCATGGAGCAAAGTATATTAATCAGCAGGTGATGTCCATAGCTACCAACTCTGTGTGTCATGGGCAGGGTCAGGCTTGGCTATACATAGTTACATAGTTAGTCTGTCTGAAAAAAAGACAAAAGTCCATCCAGTTCAACCATAAAAACAAAAGAAAAAAAAGTTATAATCCTACACCCACAGTTGATCCAGAGGAAGGCAAAAAACCAGCAAAGCATGATCCAATTTGCTCCTGCAGGAGAAAAAAATTCCTTCCTCATCCCCCGAGAGGCAATCGGATATTCCCTGGATCAGCTTTACCTATAAATGTTATATCCAGTTATATTCTGTGTATCCAAGAAAGAATCCAGGACTTTCCTACAGCAATCCACTGAGTGGCCACAACCAACTCTTGAGGGAGCCTATTCCAGTTTCACAGCTCTTACTGTGAAGAAACCTTTCCGTGTTTGGAGATTATTATTATTTTTTTTATCCAGATGTAAAGAGCGCTCCTTTGTCCTCTGTGATGACCTCAGGGGGAATAACTGCACCGAGTTCACTATATGAACCACTGATGTATTTATACATGGAGATCATATCCCCCCTTATGTATTATACATGGAGATCATATCCCCCCCTTATGTATTATACATGGAGATCATATCCCCCCTTATGTATTATACATGGAGATCATATCCCCCTTATGTATTATACATGGTGATCATATTCCCCCTTATGTATTATACATGGAGATCATATCCCCCCTTATGTATTATCCATGGAGATCATATCCCCCCTTATGTATTATACATGGAGATCATATCCCCCCCTTATGTATTATACATGGAGATCATATCCCCCCTTATGTATTATACATGGAGATCATATCCCCCCCTTATGTATTATACATGGAGATCATATCCCCCCTTATGTATTATACATGGTGATCATATCCCCCCCTTATGTATTATACATGGAGATCATATCCCCCCTTATGTATTATACATGGTGATCATATCCCCCCTTATGTATTATACATGGAGATCATATCCCCCCTTATGTATTATACATGGAGATCATATCCCCCCTTATGTATTATACATGGAGATCATATCCCCCCTTATGTATTATACATGGAGATCATATCCCCCCTTATGTATTATACATGGAGATCATATCCCCCCCTTATGTATTATACATGGAGATCATATCCCCCCTTATGTATTATACATGGTGATCATATATCCCCCCTTATGTATTATACATGGAGATCATATCCCCCCTTATGTATTATACATGGAGATCATATCCCCCCCCTTATGTATTATACATGGTGATCATATCCCTCCTTATGTATTATACATGGAGATCATATCCCCCCCTTATGTATTATACATGGAGATCATATCCCCCCTTATGTATTATACATGGAGATCATATCCCCCTTATGTATTATACATGGAGATCATATCCCCCCTTTATGTATTATACATGGAGATCATATCCCCCCTTATGTATTATACATGGTGATCATATCCCCCCTTATGTATTATACATGGAGATCATATCCCCCCTTATGTATTATACATGGAGATCATATCCCCCCTTATGTATTATACATGGAGATCATATCCCCCCTGGAGATCATATTATGTATTATACATGGAGATCATATCCCCCTTATGTATTATACATGGAGATCATATCCCCCTTATGTATTATACATGGAGATCATATCCCCCCCTTATGTATTATACATGGAGATCATATCCCCCCCCTTATGTATTATACATGGAGATCATATCCCCCCCCCTTATGTATTATACATGGAGATCATATCCCCCCCTTATGTATTATACATGGAGATCATATCCCCCTTATGTATTATACATGGAGATCATATCCCCCTTATGTATTATACATGGTGATCATATTCCCCCTTATGTATTATACATGGAGATCATATCCCCCCTTATGTATTATACATGGAGATCATATCCCCCCTTATGTATTATACATGGAGATCATATCCCACCCTTATGTATTATACATGGAGATCATATCCCCCCTTATGTATTATACATGGAGATCATATCCCCCCTTATGTATTATACATGGAGATCATATCCCCCCTTATGTATTATACATGGAGATCATACCCCCCTTATGTATTATACATGGAGATCATATCCCCCCCTTATGTATTATACATGGAGATCATATCCCCCTTATGTATTATACATGGTGATCATATCCCCCCTTATGTATTATACATGGAGATCATATCCCCCCTTATGTATTATACATGGAGATCATATCCCCCCTTATGTATTATACATGGCGATCATATCCCCCCTTATGTATTATACATGGAGATCATATCCCCCCCTTATGTATTATACATGGAGATCATATCCCCCCCTTATGTATTATACATGGAGATCATATCCCCCCTTATGTATTATACATGGAGATCATATCCCCCCTTAATCTCCTCTTCTCAGTAGAGAATACATTCAGTCCTCTAATCTTTCCTCATAGCTGATCTCCTCCATGCCTCGTATCAGTTTGGTTGCCCTTCTCTGTACTTTCTGTACTTGCTTGTGATCTATGAATAAGGTTTTTGACTATGAAACCGAAACGCGTAAACTGCTGTAACTTGCACGCTGTACCTTTATTAATAAAGAACTTTTATCGGGAGAATGAGTTCCCAGCTCTCCACCTCCCATGCTACTCCCATGCTGTTTTAAGTGCCAAAAGGAGCTTTGGAGCACCGTTGGTCTACTTCCAGACGATATCAACCTAGGCGTACACTTTTGTTTGTCTGGCTTGGAGAGCAGTGGCTATAGCAGTAGAGAGGCTCCCACCGACCAGCAGGATAGACATACAAGCATTTCACCCTGGCAGATGATGCAGCCTCACTGGAGGTGCGGTGTCTGAGCACTAACCCGTGTTCACCGGAGCTCATGGTGGTGCGGATGGGTTTTGTTGCGTGTTAGTACCAGGTTTCAGTCCTCAGGATCGCCCCACCAGGAGGTGAGCAAACCAGAATCCAATAGCAGATATAGCGGGTAGCAGTCAAGCAGAAGCGTAGTCAGTAAACAACAAGGTCAGTAACATGTGGTCGCTGGGATGGGATTAGGCAGAAGCATAGTTGAGGAACAAGCCAAAGGTCGATAATGGGTGGTAGTGGAGATATGGACGGCAGCAGGAGTGACAAGAGTGAGATATTGGCTGGAGAGAGAGCAGAATAATCTGAAAAAAGGAAGTGCAGAGACATGGCTTCAAGTGTCAGTAAACTCTTTTTGTATACTTTTATCTGCAGGCAAACTTATAATAAAGCTCACCTGTAGGTAGAATTAATATCTCCTAAATGTGCACCATTTAGGAGATAATTAGCTCTTTTTGTTAGCGGGCTGAAGTTACGGCATACCCGTGATATTCCTTCAGAGGCCTGGGACTCCCGCTTGCATACATGGGAGTCACGTCATCGTGGCTTAGCCAGTCAGATGGCAGGAACTCACAGTCCCGGAAGGAATACCGGGTGAAGATGGAACCCTTTGCAGCGGTGACAGGGCTTCATTATAAGGTAAGTTCTTCATAATGTGCTAGTATGTGATACATTCTAGCACATTATGACTTTACCTCGCAAGGGATCAGAAAGTTCTTGAGAGGAGCAAAGAGTTCAAGGTTCAGCAATAAACAAGAGAAGGCAAAAAAGTTCAAACAATCAGGGAGCTCTTCAGCATCTCAGGTGGGGCTCAGCAAGAAGAGACATTGCAGAGGTTGCAGGTTCAAACCCGGGTCCTGATACTGTGCTGTGGAGAAGAAAGAACAGAGCACATGCCTGCAGGACCACAGTTACCAGGAGAACCACAGCAGTATGGAGGTAAGGACAAACCATGTGGAACCATAGGTGATAGCTGATCTGTGACAACCTTCTTAGATTGTTAGCTCCAAGGATCAGGGCCCTCCTCTCTTGTATTGATTTGTATTGTTGCTGTATTGTCTCCCGTTATATTGTAAATATCAGACTATCGCCTACTCTGCCCTCTTTTAGGCGATCTCTGAAAAACTGAATCTTCTATTCCTCCTACCAGTCCATCCCCCACAGTTACTACCTTTTGTACCACCAGCCCCTCCCTCTTAGATTGTAAGCTCTCAGGATCAGGGCCCTCCTAACCCTCTTGTATTGAACTGTATTGTTGCTGTATTGTCTCCCGTTATATTGCAAAGCGCTGAGCAAACTGTTGGCGCCATAAATTCTGTATAACAATAATAACCTGTAAAACAAAGTGCAGCGCTGGATTGTATCAAAATTGAGACATAAATAGTCCGTGATAGTGTATTATATCATATGAC